TCCTCTTCCTTATCTGCCTTATCCTCTTCCAATGCCTTGAAACAAACCCTCACTTCGTATTTCCCTTCCTCATTGAATCCACCTGTGACTTCATCAACCGTTCTACCAAAATGCTCCTCCTTCTGGTAGCTGAAGTTGCTCTCGTACCAGCTGTTGGTGCTTTTGGATGACAGACTGTGCTTGACCTGCAACAGAAACCCAGTATCAAGCTTCGTCAACTTGATTTCATTCGATGGTATCTTGTTGGTCAAGGATGTCTCAATCTTTGTAACATCTGTCTCCACGCATGGACACTCTTTGCAGCACGCATCCTCGCAGCAGCTGCATTCTGAGTTGCTACTGCTGTTGCAGCTGCACTTGCACTTGTCGTTGTAGCCAGTCATAGGGGCTCTGTTATTGCTCAATTTAATAGCAACCCCTTTAAAAAGGTTGGCTAAGAAATAAGTGAATAGTCAGTATGGTAGAGTTAGTTATGGCGATAGTTATTATAGTGGTTAGTTAGGGTGGTAGTTATCTACGCCTATTACAATTACCCAAACTACTACTCTATTTATCTCTACCTCAATCTAATCATCATAAATATGTAGATCACCACAAAGAATGATATGCTGGATCTAAGGAAGTTCATAATTGGTCTCATCGTATTCTCAGCCTTGTACCATAGATCACGAGTGAGTCTGTTTGTATCATCAATCGGTCTCTTACAGTAGATGCAGAAGAAGTTGTTGGCCAATAGGGCCCATCCTTTGATACACTCCATGTGGAAAGAGTGGCCACAGGTGTTCGTGAATATTTTGGTCTTGTTCTGCAGTGATAGCGAGCATATCATGCATCTGCTTCCATCATCAGCCACTGGTGCAATTGAGTCGTCTTTCGTGTAGTAGCCAGTGGTCTGGGCCATGATGCGACTCAGGTTGAACATCACCTCCCTGCAGAATACGCCAAAGTAGACGGAATAGATCAGGAATCGCAGACTCGTTTTGATCGTGGCTGTCCCCAGAATGCGGCTCAGAAGCACCATCGCCTGGCTCAGGAGAATCAGGAAGTTTGTGGCCGTGAAGATCTTCTTGAAGAGGCGATAGATCTTCTTAGGGTTCTCGTGGGCCAGGAGGCCCCTTGAGAATCCAATTCTGACGCAGTAGGCGAAGAAGAGCATCAGGAGGGCCCAGATCGTGATGAAGACGTAATCACGGAGCACCATCATTGTGATGGGTGGGAATGCGACGATGAAGAACATCACAAGGGCATTGTGGGTTGGTCTATGGACTCGTTTGATCAGGGCGAGAATCGTGTGAATGACGAGGCAGTAGACTCCAAATACGGCCACAAATGGAAGCACGTCAATGAGTGTGATTGGTGGGCGCAGCACGATGAAGTGGAGGATGACTGGCTTAGACTGTGCCTTGGTCTCCAGAATGGCATCTGTTGCCTCGGCCATGCCAGTGTCTTCTGGTTTGTCCAATTTGAAAGTATTCGACATGGGCTAGTTAAAAACAAAGGGCTCAGGTTTCATCTGGGGGGTAGTTTGGAAGAGTAATTTTTGAAACTGCTTCCTTGAGCAGCTCACAGAGACGATCGATGCTCTCGTTTTCAACAAGACGCCTTGTATTGGCCAGGTGCAGCACATTCTCAAGGTATATTCCAGTTCTATTTCTGTATTCTTCCAATTGGTCAAGTAGACGCCAATTCGCCTGATTTCTTTCGTCTTCATTGGCGTGTATCATATCTAGTGCATATTCCATCACCATCTTCAGCAGTGAATCGTATTGAAATACACATTCCTCATATTCAACTATGTTTATGCGCAGAAGTTGCTCACTTTTTTCAAGTTTCTTGACGTAAAGTGCCTTCTTCACCCTGGACTTCTTGGCTGCTGCCCTGTTCTTCTCCCTGCGATACTCCACGACTGCTGACTCTTTCTCAATCATCTCGTTCATCTCGTCCATCTCTGCAACCCTGTTATAGAATGACTCAGCCAACTCATTCATCGAATTCAAATAGTAAATAGTCTGTAACTCATCCACCTGAGTGTATTGCTCTCCATCCATGCTATAGTGATCTGTTTCGTCCTCACTGAAGCCAGTTCCTCTTCTTCTGGTGCACTTTCCGTCATCTTCAGCCATAACGAGGTCACTCTCCAATACACAAATTGCATTCAATAAACAAATCCATTCTATTCATCCACATATACTTATGCATATTCTAACTGTTTCACCCCTTACAAATATTTCATCATATTTCTATTGCCCCTGTTTCCCCACTAATTTAATTGGCCCCCTCTGTTATGCCTATTGAGACACCAAAAGAGACCGTGATAAAAGTTGTCTTTGTGGGGGAGCCAAACAGTGGGAAGTCTGAGATCATCAAGAAGCATCTTAAGCTTGACCACATTGCGAAACCAACGGTCTTTGACACCTACAGAATCAGACACGGTGACAGCAACACCTTTATGAACATCTGCGACACGAATGGATCAGAGGAGCTTGCTCGCCTCGTCAAAATGAGCTATTTGGATGCAGATGTCTTTGTTTTGTGTATTGAATGCGTCAATGCAAAGGACAATCTCCATTTCCAGCAGTTGATGAAGGAGCTCAGGCGACCAAACAAGCCAATCATTCTGGCCGTGACAAAGTGCGACAAGACCGTGAGAGGCAGGGACGAGCAGAGTGGGGAGGTTGTGACAAGTGACATGGTCACCAGCAACCTGGAATTGGTGCGAAACAACGCCCACGAAATGGTGAACAAGCAGAAGCTGACTTCGTACGTGTTGGTCAGCAATAAGAGAGCAAAGAGTGTTCAGGCCCTCTTCGACGAGGTCGTACGCGTCTACTTTGATGAGGTCGTCAACCGTGGCGTAGAGCGAAGCTGCTGTGGTTGCTGCTGAGTGATTTCTGCCCTAGATTTCTATTTTGAATTTCTGCCTGAAAACTGCCTTGATCCACCCAGGCGCCTTTTTCTCGTATTTCACCCTGAAATATTCCACCACAAATTGATCAAATTTATCACAGGCCAAGGCGTCTCTGATTCGCTCCATCAGCCCAGCCATGTATCTCAGGTTGTGAACTGATCCAAGGTTGCAGAAGTTCGGGGTGTTCTTGATCTTCAGCAGGTAGTGGAACGAGTAGGTGCACATTTTACAGGTGCACTTGGTGTCTACCGAAATTGGATCAAAAAGGTCGTGTTTCTGAAGGTGTCTTCTGAGACCAGCATTGGTTATTTCGATGTCACCCGTGTCACTGAAGAGGCGGCCACAGCGGCCCATTCGTGTTGGATAGACGCAGTCGCTTGTGTCTGTTCCCAATGCACTGCAAACCACCACGTCATCTGGATACCCTACGCCCATTACGTAAACTGGGCCACTGAATCCATTTCGCCTTAATTCTCCTACGGTGTATTCCACTATCTCTGCAAATGCCATCTTGTCCTCTCCACCACACATTCCGCCTATTGCAACTCCAACTGGGTTTCGTTGCAATATTTCTGAAATCGAATGGCTTCTGAGATCCTTGTTCAATCCACCTTGAACAATTGGAAATAGAATTTGACCTATTTTGTGGGAGAGTGCCCTTATGTCTCTATGCTTCCTGTGCCTCTTTTGATTCTCAGAAGATGACGATGTTTCTGTTACAACTGTGCTAATGAAGCTTGTTGATTCACTGAAGTCGCTAATGGTCTCTTTCTCCCTGCCTTCTTCCTTCTCTTTATCCAATTCATCTATGGCCCTATCAAGCCATTCAATGCTTCTTCTGACTGCAATAGCGTGTCTTTCTTTTGGTTTCATTGGATTCACTACGTCATCAAGCTGCATTATGATGTCAGGTCCCAGAATGCGTTGGATTTGCATGGAGTCCTCAGGCGTAAATAGAGCCCTTGTTTCCGTGAATCTGATTCCTTCATCCACAATTTCACAGGGCAGTGACTGAATCTGAAATCCACCTGAATCAGTCAAAATAGCCTGTTTCCACCCCATGAACTCCTTGATGTTTCTATTGAGGTCTCTCAGGTGGTACGTGTTGCAGAGGATGATTTGGTTATCAAGTTGATCCACTGGGACACTCCTCATTGCCCCGTACGTGGCTACTGGCATAAAAGTAGGCATATCAACCTTATTAGACAACTCAAACTGCGATAGACGCCCATTAGTCTTAGAACACTCCCTGACAACTGTGAAATTGGTGAAGCCTTCCTTCACTCCTTCTTTCATTGGGCTACAAAATATTGTAAATTCAGAGTAAAACCAATCCATGCTATCCCATAACTACAGAATAGTCAGGCAATTTAATGGTCTACTTCTGATATTCATTAGCACAATTGTATTCCTATTGGCTGTAGCAGGATACTACGTCGATATTCCATATGTTTACAGGCATAGTACAGTAATTGTGACACTGTTATTGGTATTAGCAATAGTAATTCATCAGGTCTACTTTGCAACAGTAGTTAACAGAATTCTGGTTGAAATTAGTGAAAGAAAATAGCAGAATACTCTGAAGAAGAATTTTTATCCCAATGTTCAACACAACCAATGCCAATTTAAGCAACACAAACTTGACAAATGCTACAACCATGATTGGTGGGAATAATTCGGCAATAACAGAGCAAATCAACACAGTTCTGTCTTGTTACGTTCCAGGAAGTCCAAACTACAAATTCAGTTACTGGTTCTACAACTTATCAAATACGCCCGTAGTGAGACCAGCTGATATGGGAATGGAGCAATGGAATGAGCTGTACATCAATCAGCACCTGATGCCAGTCAAATTGAACTGCGAGCAGATTAGGACGAGGAGAGAGCAACAAAATGATTTGACCATAAAACTAAACAACACAAAGCAGGATACGCTTGAACAAATTGGAGGATTAAACAGCAAGAAGAACACGATACGAAACAAGTTGAAGACACTGGTCTACAAGTTCAGAAAGGTCGCCAAGGGGTTTATAAGGCAAAATGAACACATTTACATGAACACCGACACGGATGGAATGATAAAAAGGGAGAAGTTGTATCTGGCTGACCAGGAAGAGGGCATTCTACAGATGGAGGAGATCAAGGAGAGACTGAATGACCTTCTGAAGCGGATCAAGAAGGACGAGAGAGGGAGCCTGTTTGAATAGGCCTATTAAGAGTAATTTGTTTCTATTTAAGCTTAATTTAGCATAAATGCATCATACCCCCTCTTCAATGTTCTCGAACTGAAGCAGCTGTTCTCCGATATCAACGTGTCCCAAATACATCCTCCTGCAACACATCCTGGTCATTCCGACCTGGTCCAGTGCCTCTGCGGCTGCCACGCCCCTTGATCGCAGCCGAAGATACTCGTTGTATCTTGAGCTGATCTCCTTGTTGCAAGAGAAACAGCGAACTGGAATTATCATGGGCTAAAAATAGTGCTTTATGCTTATCAATTTGTTTATCACCCATAAATCCATGCAGCGTAGAAACAAAAGACAGTCTTCGAATGTTTTCCACATGTTCACGAAGGAGCAGATTGGCGAGCTACGAGATGCCTTCAACCTGTTTGATGCCGATGGAGACGGAAAGGTGTCTGCTTCCGACCTCAAACAGTTCATGTCGTCTATTGGAGACCCGTGCTCTGAGACTGAGATTGCTGAAATGGTCTCTGTGCTTGAGCCAAACTGCAACTTCATGATGCTGCTGACTCACCTTGGTGAGAAGATGGCTGAAATTGGAGACCTGAATTCCATTCTGTCTGCCTTCAAGAACATCGACGTGGACAACAGTGGCCTGATAGCCAAGGACCGCCTCTACTCGATTCTGTCGACCAATCTGCCCAATAAAATGAGTGAGAAGCTCTTCAACAAACTCATTGACGGCTGCTCTGAAAATAATCAAATCAACTACCAGAAACTGAGCACCAAAATCAAACACGGTGAACTGATTTAATTAATCAATTTATTGCGTCATCTACCAGAATATTTCAACTAAATTCACACCTATTAATTAATCAATTTATTACGTCATTTTCCCTCCTATCTCCGCCTCAACTTCAGAAACAGCTTCTGATTCTGCTTGCTCAGGTTGCTGTAGAACGTGCTCATCAGGTAGTCCGTGTCAAGAAAGTCGTTGTTCAACTTCTCATTCGTGTTTGACCCAAAATAGAACTTCCGTAGCTTCGTCTTCAACTCAATCCCCTTCTGCATAAACATGTTGATCATGTCTGACTCGCACGTCCTAAACTGCTCCAGGTGCTCCAGTCTCGCAAACTCCTCTGCTATCACGCGACTGCACTTTGCGATCTTCATAAACAGCCTCGCATCCTTCCGCTTGATGAACGTGTTGTTTTTGATGAATTCGCCCAAATCGTGACTGGTGTAGTACTGATCGGCCAGGTTGATCGTGTTCAGTCTCGTCCAATCTGAGTTCGACCTGCCCAGGAAGTTGCACTCCATCTCCTCCTCGTCCGGATCCACCTTCCCCCCAGTCAGCGCATTCCTCCTGTTCTGAAACCACACATTCACTGCCTTATAGTTCAGTCCCCCTATTAGACAAATGTACTTCTTGATTTCCTTTGATGGGTATTTTGATATTTTATAGACCGATTCCAGGATATTCAGCTCAAAGTCGCTCTTTCTCTTGTTGTAGATGTACGGCCTATTCTGGTTGACAAGGGATACGAATCCTATCAGGGCGTCGTTCACAAGAGTGTTGTACGCCTCTGTCTCAGATTGCTTCGCACCGTCAGTCATACCCATTCTACTGGGCTAAATTTGTATAATTAAAAAAGGCAAATTGATGAGATCATGAAACAACTCGTATCAGAGTCACCCATGTCAAATACGGTCTGGTTGCATCTCACTCATCAGAGTATTCTGCACCTGTGATATATTAAATTTCAGATACGAAATGTGCTCTCTTGCACTTATTGTTTGATGGATTCACCTGTAGGAGGAATCGTCAATGTTTTGATCAGAATTCTGATTCAAAATTTGACAAAATTTGAGGGTGGTAAATTATGTAGGTTGTGTAATTGTTAGGGTAGTCTCTATAAGTGTAAAGGTGTTTTCTATAAAGGTAAAGGTAGTTTCTATAAGATAAGGGTGTTCGCTAGATAGGTAAAGGTAGTTTCTATAAGATAAGGGTGACGGTAGTTTCTATATAAGGGTGAGGGTAGTCTCTCTATAAGATAAGGGTGTTCGCTAGATAGGTATAAGGGTAGTCTCTATAAGATAAGGGTGTTCGCTAGATAGGTATAAGGGTAGTCTCTATAAGATAAGGGTAAGAGTGGTCTCTCTATGAGGGTAAGAATGGTCTCTCTATAATGGTAAGAGTGGTCTCTCTCTATATAGGGCCATTCTCTAGTCTTGTTAGTAGGCGTATGGTCAATACTCTACTACTTGTGCACCCCATCTATATTGTAGTATAGATTGGCAGTGCAGTTTGTTGCTAAGACACCCTCTGGTAACTTACTTAGACAATCTATGGTAATTTACCAGGGTAGTCTCTAGTTGCTGAGACACTCTCTAGTAACTTACTTAGACTCTCTATCACATCCCCAACTATATTGTTGGTTTAATATACAACCCACGTCCTTCCTCTCCACCACTCTTTCTGTTCTACTTATTCCTGTAATATTTTCATTAATTAAATTCTACTACTAATATCACCATATTACCAGAATAACACTATCACAACTGTACTCATAATATTTCATTATTTTAATTACCTAATACCTCTCTCGTATTATCATTCTCCCATGCTCCTTCTCAATAATCCTGTTCTTCTTCACCAGGTAGTCTATTGCCTGTTTCACCACCCCCTCATCCATGTCAATCTGATCAATCACCTCTTTCACCCTCCTGCTGCCTCCAACTGGCACCATCGCAATTATCCGATCCACTGCCTTCATCACACCCACTCCTGCTCTCCTTCTTCCCATTCCTTCCACCCTGTGGCCACTACTCACTGCATTCATCGTACTGCCCTGAAACAGCCTGATTGCCTCCTCCACGTGCTCCACGCTGACCTGGGCTCCCATCTCCATCCTGGCCAATGCCTCGCTCACTCTGATGATCGCCTCGAGCTGCCTGACTGTGATTGGCACCACCGATCCCCCTGCTGCGACACTGCTCCTTGCTTCGACGTAGAACGAGCCCAACATCCTCGATGCCCCCTGTGACAGAATTGGACTACAATTTGCCCTACAAAATGAGACGTAGTCTCTCAGCTCAGCCACCGTCATTGTCGAGTCGTCGACCTTCTTCTGCCTGCGACAGTGCTGCTCCAACACGAATTGCGCCCTCTTTCGGTCTCCCTCGCTGTGCTCGTCCCTCAAAATGAAAATCAGGTCGAATCTGCTCAAAATGGTCGATCCAAAGTCGACGTTCTCGGCCACGCTCCTGTGGTCGTCGAATCTGCCGAAAGCCGGGTTTGCGGCCGCCAGAACGGCCGAACGCGTCTTCAGCACCGTCGTGATCCCCGCCTTGCTGATTGAGACGGTCTGCTGCTCCATGGCCTCGTGGATTGCGACTCGATCGGTCTCGCCCATTTTGTCGAATTCGTCGATGCAGCAGATGCCGCCGTCAGCGAGAACGAGGGCGCCTCCTTCGAGTCGGAAGCCGCCTCCCCTGTCGCGGATCACCGCGGCAGTCAGCCCGGCCGCGCTGCTTCCCTTTCCGCTGGCGTAGACGCCAATTGGCGAGGCCGCCTCTGCGAACTTGAGCAGCTGGCTCTTCGCTATCCCCGGGTCGCCCAGAAGCAGCACGTTCATCTCCCCTCGCAGGCGTATTCCGTCTCCGCCCCTCTTTGCAACTCCACCAAAGAGCTGGCACGCAATCGCCTTCTTCACGTCCTCCATTCCGTAGATTCCCGGTGCAACTGAGTTGGCCACCCTTTGGCCAATTCCACCCGATTTGCTCAGTCGCAGAAAGTGCGCCCTCTCCTCCTCAGAGAAGGCCGCCCTCCTCGTCCTCGACTCCTCCTCGATTCCCAGGCAGTGCAGCACCGTCCAACTCTCGTTCCTTCTGCTCGTTCTCACGCAGACCACCCCAGTCACAGAAAGTGGGCGGCCAGGAAGAGCCCTGTTCACCAGGACGCCCTCCATCACCACCGAAAGGTGACGAGGCGTCTCACCAGCAGGTGTCTCCTCAAACTCCTCCTGCACTTTGATCAGCTGCGAGTCAACGCCCTTCGACTTCTCAGTCACCACCAGAAATGGATCAGTCGGACACTCCTTCCCGTTTCGGTTCGAGCAGCGCCGAGGGACGAAGTCCGTCACGCGCTGCGTCTCGCTGCACGAGCGGCACTCGATCAGCAGCTCAGTCGGGCGCACCTCGGGTGAGGCAGCCGAAACAACAATTCCCCTCATTCTCACAATTCTATTCGCCCTGACTCCCTTGATGTCACGGATTGCCACCGCATTCTGGGACGAGATGAGTTCGACTCCCGCTGGCCCACCTTTTTCAGCAGAGGCTGCCTCCTCAAAGGCAGAGGCCGTCTCAAGTGGATTCTTCTGCAGCTCGTTGTAGAGGACGGGGCTGAAGGCGTTGATGTGCTCCAGGCGCACGACCAGGCTGGTGCCATTGAAGAGGTTGGCGTAGTAGCAGGTCGACTCGTTGCGGAAGTGGCGGATGAAGTCGAGGAAGAGCTGTTTGACGGTGTCACGGGTGACTGGGTTGTCCTGGTTCAGTAGGTCAATTGAGGTGACTTGGATTTTATCATAGGACATGGGTTAATTTTTGAGAGGATAAGTTGTAGTAATAATGGTAGCTATTGTACTATAATTACTACTATAATTACTATTGTACTGTAATTACTATTGTACTGTAATTACTACTGTACCGTATTTGCTACCATATTATACCCTACTATATTATACTCTACTATATTATACCCTACTTACTCTACTACCATATTATACTGTACTATAATTACTACTTACCTTACCCTACTTACCTTACTATACCCTATTTACCCACTCCTGTAATTCCCATTTTCAACGTGATAGAGGTGACAGTTCTTACACAGTCTCTCTACTCCTTCCTTTATTTCCACTGTATCGTACTCACTACCCAACATGGCCACAATTGTATCAATGTGAATCCCCTGCGAACTCTCATTCTCCCTAACCAGTTTCAGAATGGCATCATCAACTGCCCCACTCTTCCTTGTCTTCCTGCTCCCAGTCTCCGGTGCTATCTTGTTCAAGAGCACCTGCTTCTCGTACAGACACCCAGTCAGGTGGTAGATCAGTTCTGATCCATCTGCCTTGCTCACAGATGTCACTATCACAGATGCCCTCTCGTTGAATGTCCTGTACGTCCCACAGATGCTCACCAACTCGTTCTCCTCGATGCTGTTCATTGCTGCCTCATCGTGTGCCCCATTTGGCCAGAAGTTGCACTGGATCTCACCAGTTGTATCAAACAGCCTGAGACTGACTCCCGTATTCGACTGCTTCCTGCTTGCTACCACGGCAACCAGTCTCACTGCACTGACATCCTGGCCATCGAGACTGCTGTTTGATACTTCTGCAATCTGCCTGGCTGTGAGGCGTCTCACTGACTTCTTCACTGCTGATCTCTCTGGTTGAGAGTGATTGGTGGTGAATCCACCTTCTTCTAGGAATGTGCTATTCATGGGATAAAAAAAGATATATTGTAATTGTCATTAATAAGTTGTTATTATAATACTATTACTACTGTTATTACTATTATACTATTACTACTGTTATTAGTGTTACTACTATTATTACTACTGTTACTATTATACTATTATTACTACCCTATTACTATTACCACTACCCTGTTATTACTATTAGTATTACCTACGCAAATGTGGCGTGATACTTCTCCTCAAACTTATCGTACACTTCCTTGATTCGCTTGAACCTGCCTGTGTCTGCTCCCCACTGCTTCTCAACCAGTCCCATCAGACTCTTCGACACCCTCTCAATGCCCTGTAGCCTGGTCCATAGCTCTCCTCCTCCTAATCCGTTGTTCTGCTTGATTCGTACAGTTGATCCGTGCCTGTAGAAGTCGTAGACGTAGCTGTTCTTCATCGTGTCCCTGTAGTAGAGGAATGAGTTGTCGTGGTACTGCTCCAGTCCGACATCAAACACCCTGTAGCCCGATAGGATGCCACCTGCTTCCAACAGTCTCCTGTGGTAGTCCCTGTTGATCTCCCGTAGCTGTTTCAGTACTGGAATTCCTGGTAGACTCCTCGATGGGTTGATTGTTGGTACTGTTTCAAATAGGTGGGCTATGAGGAGAATGAGTGGTCTCTCATCGTAGTCAACCAGGTCATTGTCTACGAGCCAGCCCAGGATGAATGTACCATTTCCCTGCTCCTTATTGGTCACGTACAAGTCATACAGGTACGAATACTTGTAGATGAAGGGGTAGTTACTGATGTTGTTGTTGTTGTTGTTAGTAATGTTGGTAACAACATTAGTATTGACTGTAATATTATTATTGCCATCATTAGCAACTCTGTTATCATTAGTAACCCTGTCATCATTAGCAACCCTATCATCATTAGCTACTACCCCTACTACCCTATCTAGCAAACTCCTCTTTATAACTCCCTCTGATATCTCCCTATACAGACTCATTGTCATGTTATTCTGTATCTTCCCCCCCTTTATTTTTGGTAGCATCGACACCATCAAATTCTGTATCCTGTGCTTCGGAATCCCAGCAAATACGACATTTCCAAGGGTGTCAAACCCCCTACGCCCTGCTCTCCCTGCCATCTGCTTGTAGTTCATCGGATCGAGCTGCAAGGAGTCGCCGTAGAAGACGGCTGTCCTGCATGGCATGTTGATTCCCAGGGCGAGTGTCTCGGTGGCAAAGAGGACGCGAATGTGCTTGCGCCTGAAGAGGTGCTCCACGCCCGACTTCGTCTTGCGACTGAGCAGGTTGTGGTGGACGCCCACGCCCCTCTCTGCGAGGTCGAGGCAGTGGGCTGGCGCGTGCTTCATCTCCTCGTGCACCTCCATCGTGCTCAGCCTGGTCACCTCGGAGGTGTAGCCGAATTTGACTCGTCCAGCCGAGTCGGCCTCCGCCTCGGCCTGGATGCTCTCCTCGATCCACGCCTCCTTCTTCGCCACCTCGGCCCTCCTCTCCCTCTCCCTCGGCCTCCTTCCGCCCTCCCTGAAGGTGTCTCGTCTCGCCATCTCCCTCGCCAGCCTCCTCGCAAGCTGGTCGCACCTGTCTCTGTCCGTGTTGAACACGATCGCAGGAAGAAGGTCGCTCTTCTCCAACGAGTCGACGACTCCAATCAGGTCGTCGAGCAGCTGGCTCTCTTCCGCCTGGATCGCAGCCACCTCCCTGTTTGCCTCGCCAGTCAGCAGGTCGTAGACTGCCTCCACCTCCTTCGTGCTCAGAATCCGCCCCTGAATCCACTCCTGGAAGGTGCCAAGGAGGTGTCTCTCGTACTCCCTGACATTGGCCCTGGTGATCAGGTTCGACCTGAAGAACTTCTTTGGCGCAAGCTGCCTGATTCTGCCCTTGCTTCCTTCAGGCAGAACGGCGTAGATGAAGTAGAAGATGCTCAGCAGCTCCTCAGGCAGAAACTGCAGGTCGTCTCCAAAGCCAAAGTCGCTCAGGTGCGAGGGCGTGTAGGCGAACATGCAGTTCAGTCGAATCAGGGACGGAACAGCCCCCATTTTCACAGAAAAGTGGCGAGTCTCGCAGAATCGCTCCTTGTGGACGACCAGGTCGCACTCCCTGCCCTTCGACGCCTCCACCGCCCTGAACCAGCCGTAGAACTCGTCCAAGTTGCCGATTGTCGCACTCAGCAGCAGAATGGGCCCGTTGCAGAGGTGGATCACTCGCTCCATCGTCACGCCCAGCTTCTCGTCGTTGATTTTGTGGACTTCGTCCATCACGAGGTACCTGACGCGAAGGGCCCTGTTTCGGAGCACGGCCTCGAGCATCGATGGGACGGTGATCAGCACCTGCGAGTTGAATGGCTCTGAGCACCTGTCGTGCGTCAGGGTGCCCTGGAGAGACGTGTTCTTCTGAATTTTGAAACGGGCGAAGATGTCGGCACTCACCTGGTTCGCAAGTGCCTTTGTTGGGAGGCAGAAGACGACTACGCTCATTTTGGTGAATTTCAGTTTCGATGGAGTCGAAGGGAGGTCGGCGGTGCCGTAGACCGCCCTGATGAAGGCGACTCCATCGCTGTTTGGTCGATCTGCCTTTGGTGGCGCCTTCTTCGACTCCCTGAACTCCCTGATCAGCTTCTCGACGACGTAGTAGCAGATGAACGTCTTTCCAGAGGACGTTGGTGCCGAAATCACCACCGATTTGCCAGCATCGACTGCGTCGAGGAGACGCACCTGCCAGGCATCGGGCTCAAATGGAACTCGCCTGTCTGGTCTCGTTCCAAGGGTTCTCTTCAGAAACTGACCAGTGTATTTCAACTGGAAATAGAGATCGACGTCAGAGGGCCTTGATTTGCCAACAGCCCTCTTGAACGGCATTTGATGGGTCTCAATCAGCTCCTGGGCAGTTGAGGAGAAGCCGGCGGAGCAGAAGGCGTCGACAACAAACTCCATTTCCTCCTGGTCGTAATCGGCACCGTGGTAACGGTTCATGAAATTTAGGCACTCCAAGTAGAGGGGAACCAGCTTGGATTCATCGGGGTCAATTCCCCTTGTTTCCACGCTCCAGACGGTGTTGTACAGCTCAATCTTCAGCAGTGACAGCTTTCTCTCTATCACCTCGTTCTTCACCCGTATTCCTTCAATCAGCCTACGCTTCTCATCAAATGTCTTCAATTTGCTGTAATTGGAGTAGAAGTTGCTCAGCCACTGGTTGTCACTTCGCTGCTTCGACTCCTCCTTCCTCTTCTGATTCTCATCGATGATTCGCTGCTTCTTCTTGTTCAGCGGCTTCTGCGTCTCAGGATCAGTCTCCTTGTACATCAGTGATGTGTCGTACATGAAGTTGCCGTCACAGAGGGATTTGGCTGATTTCGTGATGTTCAGGAGGTGTTTGATGCTCATCTTCTCAGGAATGGGTGGCATGATCAGGTCTAGGTCATTCGAGGTGTATTCTATCTCATTCTGTAACGAGTAATCAACTACCGTCTTATCCTCCTTTCTGGTCTCAAAGAGTCCGTGACTCAGGTAACCGTCATAGAACTCCTCAGTCAGACAGGACTGGGTTTCAATCCCAGCTGACGTGTCTTTTTTGTACACCACCCTTTCTGGTATTTTATACTTTTTCATGAATTCAGCCCTGTAATCCGTCTTCTTCTTTCCCTCTTCTATTTTCAGGGCAGATGTCTCTGGCTCCCACTTCTCATCCGCCTTTCTTGGCTTGAATACCTGGCCATGCAAATAGGGTATTTCGTAACTGAATGTCTCAATCAGGGAGACGTAGAATCCCCTGCCTAGCACCTGCTTTATGAAATCAGACTGGCTGAATCCACTCACCACCATTGCAATACGCTCACTCTCCTCAACCCTGTTGTAGAACAGGCAGTTGAAGGCACCTAGGACGTGCTTCTTGGCGTAGTTGGTCTCTTCGTCTCCGTCTCTACAGAGGTATCTCACATCCTGGAACACGTCTTGCATCATTTTGTCGTAGAATTCGAAATACTCCAAAATGAGCAGAAGTGGCATATTGTCCCTGAATACGCCGTACTTCTCACAGACGTGATTGATGAATGCATTGAAGTCAACCAGGATGTACCCTATTCCTGCAAATGCAGCACCAATGTTGATATTGGAGTGTTCGTAGTCAAGTAGCCTGTTTTCTTGTTTAATTGTTGTATGGCTGTTACTAACTTCCATAAATGGGTAAAATATTTACAGAATAAATATTGGGCTGAATACCCTATGAATGTTGATTTCGATGGGCGAGTTACAGATGAACAGGAAGTGGACAGGATGGAGGCACGTGAGTATCTGGAGCAGTTTCTTAGGGAGAATGCAGATGTGGATGAGATCATCAAACTGCGAGTGGAGGAGCTGATGAATTCAACTAAGTAGGTGAGACAGTCTTGTTTTGATTCTACTGTTCATAAATATTCAGGTGCAATTTATAGTATTGAACACATTATTCACATATACTCGATAATCAACTTATTCAATATTGCTGCATTTCTCTTATTTACTATTTTGCGTACATCAAATTACATTTTCCACTACATGAGACTGAATATCGACATCTGTTTCATTCTTTCATTATTTTGTCTACATATCTCTTCAAACTCCTTGAATTCAATCCTATGCTTGTTGTCAGCGAATAATTCACTTGTCATTTCAGTCACTGCCTTTTCTGTTTCCTCTTCTCGCCTCTTTGCTTCCTCATTCTTTGCACTTATATCTCCACAAAAATCATTTTCACTAGGTCTACTGTGCTCTACTATGTTCTTGATTGCTCTATACGAATCAATGAACTCGTCCTTTCCAACGTATCCGTCTTTGTCTGTATCATAGAACCTAAATAGCCATGCAACCTTTTCTAGAAATGAGCCCTTTGTCAGTATGCTGAATCCAATCATAACCTCGTTGAAGTTCAGTCTGCCCGTGTTTGTGATATCAAGTGTGTTGAATAGCTGCTTAGTGAACCTCTTGAGATGCAGGCTGTTGTTAATTTTATGAGAGTAACAAACTATAAATATTTTCTCAATATCGGTCTCACGCATGTATCCATCAGGATAGGTCGTCTTGAAGTGAATAGACCACTCTCGTACGTCATTTGGTACGAACATATTGAACCTACGCACCTCTGCATCCTCCCCTGTAAGTGCAGATGGTCTGTTTCCCATTAGGGTCATTTATGCAAATATTTCACACAAACAAAACACCCTTATGACAATTGCTAAGCGAATATACGTAATAAAGCTGCCATTGACTCTTGACGAGTACAGACGCGGCTTCAGGTACGCTCTCAGCAAGTTCACCACGGATGAAGTATCATTTATTAAGATGGACAGACAGAGGCAAATAGATTCTGTTACGACTGAGACCGTAAAGGTGTTGAATTTGTCAAAGAGAATGCCGTATATGGTTCGTAAGGTGATACCAGCGGCAGCGTGTCTCGTAGAGGAGTTCAGCACGAACATCGATACGCTCCAATTCAAGAAGGGCGATGATAAATACACGCACGTTCATAAGGAGACCAAATTGAAGCAAATTGGTAAAATATACAGAAGTGAGGAGATTGTGGACGAATTGAACACACAGGTTGTGGCTGAGAGTGCAGTGGCAGTGGAGCCAGCCGATATGAAACAGAGTTTAGGGGACGAAAGTGGCATCATAGGCCACTATACAAAGACGACGTATAAAAACAGGCATTTTGACGAGAAGACGTTCAAAATGAGGATTGATACGAAGGTTTGTGCTGAAAACAGCTTCAAATTCACAGGGGTGGACGCAGAAGTGGAAGAATTGGACTTCAGGACATTTCTGAAGAATAAAGTTGTGAAGGTGGGTGAAAATGACTACAGCGGCGACTACGAGAAGAAGTACGGGGCAGTCTACGTCTTCAAATACGTTGAGATTGAGCTGAATTCGATGGTACTTGGATGGATTGCGAAGGAGATTCTCAAGGTGCTGAGAAACAATATTGTTGAAATACAGCAAGACATCGTCAAATACCGTGACAAATGGATTGAAATGAGCGAAGAGGAGCTGGAGAAGATGGAAAAGGACGTGGTAGAGAAGTTTATGAAAAATGTCTAAGCATAAACAGATAATAAGCATAAATCACTCTTCATTGCCCTGACCATTTTTCTTGGCGTATCGTCCTTTCTTTGCCTTGGCAAGACAGCTGTTCTGGTTCACTTCGATGTATCCCTCGTTCTCAGCTCGCACGACCATCCCAGGCTTGTTCACAACCCGTCCACCAAGCGTAATCTGCTTCTGAGTTATCAGGGCCCTTGCGTGGTGCAAGTTTCTTGCTAGCCCCGCCTTGGCCACGAGAGTCTGAAGCCTCCTATCCAAATAGTTGCCCAATTCCAAGTTCAGCACCTGCTTCAGACACTTGCTGATGTCCTCCTGGTCATTGAAGTCGACTCCAGCAATGAGACCGTCTCTAAAGAGCCTGTTCAACAGTGCTCGTCCCTCTGTCATAAACAGCTCTTTATCTGTCGTAATCAGAAGCTTTCTTGCCTGCTCCTTGTCATTCTTTGCTACGCTCAGAACAGTCCACAATTCATTCTTGTTTCTTAGCCCGTATTTTCCAAGCAGAGCGAGCTCCTTGATGATTCTCGCCTTCTCCCACGGGTTTCTTGGTGTTGTTGCCAGTTTTCTGGATCTGATGACTCCGCCCATTGTGGGTAAAATTTTACAAAAATCAATAGGCAGAAGAATGTTGCCAAAATTAATCTGGTTATCAATTATTGGTAGTTGGAAACACCCTGGTTTAATAAATTGAATTATTTATGCTATTTTTGTGAGGGCCTTTAGAATCAGCACAGGATTCATCTCCTTCTCTTCAGTTTCATCAAAAACATTCCTGATCAACTGATTGGCCTTTTTATTGATCTGATTCATTCTAAACAGCAGATTGTCCTCTGCTATTTGCATTCGCAACGCATTTGCCTCAAACTCAGCCTTCTGATCTTCATTACCTTTTTCAAGTTGCCTGAAATCAATCTCAGTTCTCTTTGGCATCTTAAGTAACTCCTCTTTGATCAAACACTTCTTCATCATTTCATCCCGTATTCTGTTCCACTTGGCTATTTCCCTCTCATATTCTTCTCTCTTTGATTCAACATACCCTGGATCAGCTCTATTTTTAAATGCAATAAATTTGCACTGTTTTGCGTATTCTTCAATGGCCTTGCTTCCCCTTGTTTTGGTGTTGATCTCCCTTAGTGCTGCCTGTATCAGGCTGTTTATTTCTGTAACTCCATCATAGAGTCCATTTAAATCCACTTCATCGCACTTTATTTCCTTTATTGCCTGATTCACTGGTATTTCTTCGCATATAATTGAAGAAAACTCTAATACATTTTTCTTATTCTTTTTCTTTGTGGTCTTCCTTGGCTTCTTCTCGCTAACTGTCTTGAATACGAACTCCTCTTCCTCAAATACAGCTGCTTCATCTACCTTTCTCCTACTCTTCTTATCGCCCATTTTCAACTTCTTGAACACGAATTCTTCTTTTGTTTCCATAGGGCAAAAAGCATCCTGAAAATGGATGAAATTATTGAAGAACTAAAGAGTGACCAAATTCAGTTTAAGGGATTTAACAAGGGTCTAATTGAGACAAAAGAGAACAAGGTGACCAGTGTGAAGTATCTGACGTCGTTCAAGAACGATAATAAGAAGGAATATAAGATTGTTGAAGAGAACTGAAAATGAGGGCTGTTAAGCTTAATCTGTCTTAGTAAACTGGTAGTTGCTGTTGTAAGTGATAAATGCTAGTAACTGGTCCAATTCAACTTCTCTTTCTCATTTTGTCAAAATACCTCATTCATTTTATCCCATGACAAGCAACCAACAAACACAAACAAACGTGCAGAAAGAGCAAGAGAAGAAGGAACAGGTTGAGAAGGTGGAAGCTGTGCTAGCAAACAAGAAGAAAAAGAAGGTCAGAACAGCACGACCATCAAAGGCAAGAGAGCTGGGCTCATTCTGGATAAACAATTCAGTCAAATTCGTATCGGAATTGAAACAGCCTACGCCAACTCAATACAAACAACTGCTACGCGTCTACTGTGCTGGAGCTCTGGTTGTTGGAATCTTCTGCTACGGAATCAAAGTGGTTCACATTCCAATCAATAACATATTTGTTGCATAAACAACCATTATGAATCATCTTCTGTATTTCAGGTAGAACACCATCATGAATCCTATGGTTACGAGTGTTTTATATGTGATTTTGGACACGAATCCGTCTATTGCGCCAGCTAGAAGCTCTACGACTATTTTTGTGTAGTTTAAGGCAGAAAATCCGTTTCTGATAATATTGTCCCATTCTCCACATTGCTTCTGTAGTGCTGGAACCCTTGTGCTTGGATCGCACCTGTTTATCTGATACTTCTCCTTCGCATTCTGAATCACTCCTCTCATTATTTCTCTTTTTTCATTGATTCTGTATAAAACATCTATTTTTAGGAAATAGATCAGAAACCCAATGATATAAATAAAACTGGCTGTGATAAAGAGATTCAAAAGGACGTGAATGTAGCCAATGAGTAGCATAGGCTGAGACAGCATATTCTGCGTCCTCTTTATAGCCCCGTACGTGTATTTGACTGGTGCTGTACAATATTTCTGCATTTTTGATGATATTTTGGTCATTGCAGTGAACTTCTTTGGTTTTGAATTGGAAGTGATTTCTGACATTTCCACGGTGTTGGAAATGTTGTCTCTTTCAACTGCCTCATCTGGCGCTGGAAGAGGGAGTGGTCTCTGTTTGTTAGTCAGAAACTCGCTCTTCTCCTCACTTTTTCCTCTTTTTTTCCAGTTGAATTTCACTTCAGCCATTTCTGGGGTAAAATTGAATGAATCGAAGTCACCGGTGAATTTATTAAATGCTCAGAACACTGAATAATATTTTTGCACCCTCATTTCAATAGGCGTATTATTAGTTAGTGAAACAGTTACAGCCTGTCTTGGACCAGTTGGCTGCCTCTTTGCCGCCTTGCACTCCTTTCCTGCTGCTCGTGCCTCTTCCAGCTGCTTCCTGTACTCCGCGTATCTTCTCTTGGTGTCCTCGTTGGATCTCGACTTCGTCAGGTGCTCCACTCTCACGTTTATGAATCTCTCAATCATCTTTGGACCAATGTTCCTGTACAGAACCACTCCAACAGCCCTCTTGTTTACGTTGTACACCTTTCCAGTCTTACCGTGGTAGTATTTATGAGGCATTCCCTTTACTACGGATGGATCTACCTTGATGTCAACAAGATCACCTACTTTGAATTGTTGCAGTGTTTTGGAGAGTGTTGGCTTCCCATGCTCCTTCTTGTCCTTCTTGAAGAGTCTCCTTGTTCTTCTTCGATATCCATTTGATCGCATTAGGGATAAAAATTGTAAAAATTATTCTCCTACACTTTACTCTCTTAAAGTCTTAATCCACTACTCATTATCCTCATTCGTGTACAGCTTCTCAATCAGTACCTTGTACGAGACTTCTCCCCTGGCATTTGGTGGAAATATCACGAAAAAGTCGTTGATTTCCTCGTTAGTCATTCCTTCAACTCCCTCAAGCAAAATCATTCTCAGATCCTTTGCTTTGATGTATCCGCTGTTGTTCGGATCCAGCGACCTAAACGCCTCGTCGATGTTCTCCTTGCTGTAAATCTCCTTGCTTGTCTTCAAATCGTTTACAATTTGCTTGAATTCCTCAAGACTCACATTTCTATTAGGAACGTTGTGGCTCTCCTTTAGGACGTAGCCAAGACACTTCAGAGTGGTCTTAATGTCGCGCTGGAGAATCTTCTGGTCCTCATTCGCGAACATTTTGAAAATCTTTGCAACTTCAACATCATTAGGTCCCATTAAGGGGTTTTAAACCTATTTTATATACACAAATTGATTGGTTAATTTGTTTCTATCAAATTGCATAAGGAGTCTCGTATGATTTCATTTGTGAGACTCAACAACAAGTTCCACAGACCTGGGGATGTTGTAACTGGTCACATTGTGGTTCAGACAAAAGAGAAGTTTTCAATAGAGGCATTGGAACTCTGTTTTGAAAGAAGAACACGTCTTCTAATTGAAGGAAATTCAAATACGTACCATGACGTTGATCACGACGCAGTGGTCTTCTCCAAGAGGAATATGGTGCTAGATAGCGTAGAAATATCAGCAGGAGAGCACCAGTTTCCATTCAAATTTCTACTTGGACAAAATGAGGTTTCTAGTTCAACTGTAAGAAGATATTTTGGTGAAACAAGAGTTGACTTCATCAATGATTACATAATATATACGATATGTAATGGAGTAAGTGGAAAGGTAACACACCTGAATAGTTACCAGGAGAGTGAGCCGTCTCTGGAGAAGGACGTGGTGCTGACACAAAGCAACTTTCTCTGTACTCTTAAGAGAAATGTCGTAAAATTGGTAGTGGATAAAATGGGCTATTTGCCTGGTGAATTGGTGAAGCCTGTTCTCAGAATAAGCAAGAATAACATCAAGTCGATTCATAAGGTGACATTTGGAGTATACGAGTGTTTCATTCACAGGAATCACACGATAAGAAGCAGGAAAATAGCAGAAACAAATGGATACTTGGTGGATCACAATGAGATTGCTGGCTGTCTGAGACTGCCCACTTCAACAGGCGCAACGTGCAAGGATCCTCTCTACGACGTCCAGATTGTCGTAGAGGCCTCCGTTCAATTACATAAGAGCACTCTAAAAATAAAAAAGAACCTGAACGTAAAACAGGTGAAAACACTGTTGCCAGAAAAAGAGGAATCTTTCGCATTACAACCCGTGATACACAGAGATCATGTCATAAATTACTACTAACACTTAGCAGTACAAAATGTTTTAATTGCATCTTATTCATTAAAATAATTCTGATTTAAATGACAGTAATGTCAACTGATCCATTTCATTCTTGTCAGGCAAACAAATACATTTCATTAGAAATCCTGAAATATTTTGCCCATATGTCACGTGTTAAACTGAGCAATGAGGTAACGCCATCGCATTACGACCTGACTCTGAACGTGGAGGACACCCTCTTCAGCGGAGTCTGTAAGATCGTATGTAACGCTCTCAAAAGCATCACGACCTTCGAATTCAACACCAGCAGCAGTTTGAACCTGGAACGTGTCCAAATCTACCAGAACCAGAAGGAGATTGGGTGCAAATACGAGGTATCAAAAGAGGAAGCAAAGAAGGATGAGTTTGTGACTGTTAAGCTTGAGAAACCAGTAAGCAGCAACTTCCAGGTTGTAATAAAATACAAGGGCAAATATGGGAATTTGGATGGGTTCTACAGGAAGGAGGATGGAGACAAAAATGTGCTATTTAGCACCCAGTTTGAACCAGCTGATGCCAGGAAGGCCTTCCCGTGCTTCGACCAGCCTGATTTGAAGGCAGCCTTGAAATTAACCATAAACTGCCCTGCTGAGTACATGGCACTTGGAAATGGGAAAATTGAGAAAGACGAGGTCAAAGAAGGCAAAAGAAGCGTCACTTTTGAGACGACCCCTCGAATGTCGACGTACATCATGGCTTGGGTTATTGGGAAGCTCGATTACATTGAGAAGAAGGACTCAAGTGTGACAATACGAGTATACGCGTATCCTAAGGAGAAAGAGTGGGGCAGATACGCCCTTGATGTTGCATACGACTGCTTGAAACTGTTTGAAACGTACTTCGATATCAAATATCCCCTTCCTAAGGTGGATTTGGTATCAATTCCCTCATTTGCTTCAGGTGCAATGGAAAACTGGGGGCTGATCACATTCAGAAGGACTTCGATTCTCTTCAACCCGGAGACATCGTTCATCAGGTCAAAGAAGATCATAGCAAACACAGTCTGTCACGAGCTGGCCCACATGTGGTTTGGAAACCTGGTAACGATGACGTGGTGGAACGACCTGTGGCTGAATGAGGGATTTGCAACTTGGGCTGCTTCGATGGCACTACGAGAAATAGGAAAGGCGAATAGCAAATTGGTTGATTGGAACGAGGAGAGCAACTTTGCATCCTCTGATATTGAAGGAGGAATGCTCGCTGACTGTCTAGAGAACACTCACAAAATAGCAGTTGAAGTCAGAAACCCTGAAGAAGTTGATCAGATCTTTGACGCAATTTCGTACGACAAGGGCTCTTCTGTGATAAAAATGCTTGAGGGGTGGATGGGAGCAAATTTATTCAGGGAAGGAATTAGGTCGTATTTGAAGGAAAAGGCGTATGAAAATGCAGAAACATCAGATTTGTGGGAACACCTAAATAAGAAGAGGATGTCTGATTCAATTGCAATCAGCTCGTTGATGACGCATTGGATTGACAGAGACGGGTTTCCAGGAGTGACAATCACAGACGCAGGTGAAAAGGTGGTCTTGAGACAGTCGAGATTCACTAAGGGATACACCAAGGAGGATAAGCCATGGGCAATTCCACTGCAAATCAGGTGGATGAAGGAGGATGGAACTGAGGAAGTCGAGAAGATTCTCTTTGATTCTGAGACACTTTCAATTACAAAGAGAAGCAGGGTGTTTAAGCTTAATGATGGCATGAATTCATTCATCAGGGTGAAATACGACAGAAACACGTTGGTTGAACTGTTGAAGACGAGGGGTCTCAGTGCCACTAACAGACTTAATTTGATAGCAGACATGTTTGAATACGCCTTTGCTCTCAGAGGCGAGTTGATGACGGATGTTCTGGAGCTGTTTTCAGAAGAGAAGAACTTCGAGGTGATGGAAAACATCCTGATGAATCTGCAGATGCTGAAGAGCGCATTCTACGACACACCTGAGATGTTCAATCGCTACAAGGAGATGCAGAACACTCTGATTGAAAAGAGGCTAGAAATGGTGGATTTGAATAATGCAGGAAAGAAGAACGTGAATGATTTGGCATTGGACTCGTTGATTGTGACTGTTGGAGTAGCAAATGAGATCTATTCAGTTGATGAAAAGAACGTACACCAGGAATTTGTGAAGAACTATTTTGTATCACAAGTTGATAAGAGCTTTGAAGAAATCAAGGAGTTTTATGAGACATCTGATTTACCAGGGGTGAAGGAATCAGCTTTGATGGCACTTGGTAAAACAAAGAAGATGGAGAACTTCAACAA